ATACTTGTTATTAATTAGTTTTGTTTTTGTTGTTCATTTATTTACAGTCAGATTATCATTAGTTTTAACACCTAAAAAAATCACTTTTAGTCTTTGTTTAAAAACTTGAATAGAATTAACTTAGCAATTTGATTTCAAAAACACTCAATCCCTGTGGGATGATACTTGGTTATTCATCATTTTACTACTTGTTGACTCGTGCACTTGTGAGATTCTAGATTCACAATTTTAGGCAACAAGTTTTTGGCGCCGTTGTCGGGGATTGTCTTATTTGAATCTTATTGTTAAAGTAATTTACTATTCAAGTATTTTTGTTCATTTTCATCAGAGTTTCTGATTGTTGGCAGGTCTTTGGAACATCTTGTATGCAAGAACCTGAGTTATTCCTTCTTGACCTAGAAATTGAAAGGACTGTGAGAAGGAGAAGAAGGGAGCAGCGAGAATTTGCTTACATACACGAAATGGCTGAGGAAAACGCTCAGGGGATCTTACTAAATCAGGGGCAGCAACTTAACGCTCTTGAAGCAGCCCAGAGACCATTCGTGGTTGATGACCGTGATCGAGCTATTAGAGATTTTACAGTCCCGGTTCTTGATGGGCTAAATCCTGTGATTGTTCGGCCAAACATCCAGGCCCCACACTTTGAACTTAAACCGGTCATGTTTCAAATGCTACAGACCGTGGGATAATTCAACGGTATGGCGACAGACGATCCTCATAAACATTTGAGGTTATTCATGGAAGTTAGCGATATATTCAAGCTACCGGGAGTTCCTCCAGAAACCTTAAGGCTGACACTTTTCCTTTTCTCTTTGAGGGATCGAGCTAGAGCTTGGTTTAATAGCCTACCTGCTGACTCTATTGTTACATGGAGTGATATGGCTGAGAAGTTTCTTATGAAGTATTTCCCTGCGACAAAGAATGCCAAGTTGAGAAATGACATTACCTCTTTTCATCAAGGTGATGGAGAGTCAGTTTATGCGGCATGGGAACGATTTAAGGAGCTACTCAGAAAGTGTCCATTACATGGTATTCCCCATTAGATTCAAATGGAGACTTTTTACAATGGTCTCA